CATTTTCATGTGAGTTTCATTTTTCTAAGTGTATACAGATTTTCCTTGGATTTGACGTGGGATTCCCAAGATTAACTCCAAATGAAAATAGTGTTATGCTGAAGATGTAGCCCAAAGAAGAAAAAATTAATTTAAAATCATCAAATAGTAAGAGTATACCTTTCCACCAGGAGCTAAATTATTTACAATGGAGTCTACTAAAGGCTTCTGCACAACCCTTCTCTTATGATGCCTTTTCTTGAAGTGAGGGTCCGGACACTAAAAATGCCCAGAAATTACTTCAACATAGGTTTATGGACATTCAGCTTATTATTGACTTAGTGAATATAGCATCATTACGATTCCACTTACCAAGATGGAAACTCGTATCAAGGGTCCCGGATAAGTGGATACCAGTTGTTCGAAAGAAACTGTAGCATTTGCAAACATGAAGTATCTGAAAAAAGGTTGATACTCTTTGTCAATAAACCAGCAAAATGGATTTTCCTTATTTCTATTACTCTATATGTGTTGAAAGCCTTACATATTCCTAAGATCCAGTTCCTTTACCCAAAAGTTAGCACGCTTGACCAGCTGCAGCAAAACATTGAAGTTAAACTCCATTAATAAAATGAACCTTGTCCTCTGACTTGAAGTAAAATGTGGACCAAGTATACATTAACTTAATCTGATCCACCAAGTAAATTTAGAAGTAATCCAAGGAGTTCAACCCATACTTTCTGCCGTATTTCCAATCCCAAATAATTTTCTGATTCTATATTGCTTTTCGCCAGCCATATCAGAAATCTGCCACTACCTGGCAATTTTTGAAAAAATTATACTTGAAACAGACAGTCACATTTTTCCTTCCTGGAGTTACAAATAATGTTCATAATAGAAAAATGACAATATTTTATGTAAGTCCAAGAAGCAATCTCGTAAAAGAAGAAATAAAATCAAAGGGGCGAAGCACAATCAGTACAAAAAAAATCAACCCAAGAGCAAAATTCAGAACAAATTTTATGAAATAAAGTAACAGACTAACATTTATGTTCCATTCCACACGAGTTAGAAGCCATTTTTTGCTGCAATCATGAACGTCAGCAGCACAAAGTGCATAGAAACTTAAGTTTATGCAAAAACACTGAAGTTTAGGATGCATCCCAAACGGATTGCCCAGGACAGAGACAGAATACCGTTTTTATAACTAATTAGGGGAAGTGAAATAGCATTAGTGATTCACAAAAGTGAAAGATAGTTCAGAGGTAAGGGTGAGATAGAGAGAGAAGAGTATTGCTAGCATATTAGCAACATTTCTAAAGGGAGGATATCCAGTGAAATATATTTAAAATAAGGAAAATTATTACCACTTCCAATATCCACCATCAAAGGCAGTGTTGGGTCCTTAAATACTTCAGCCCAGTCTGGTACTGGGGCAGACACCTGCCAAGAGGAGGAAAACATAAAAACAACAACAATGAATTTGGATCTCTTAGTGAGATAAGAGAATGTCTGTTATCATTATATTCACTATTACAGAAAGGGGAGAAAAGCCTGTAACAAATTAAATTTTTTTACTTTGGATAGAAACCCTTCAAAAGCTACTTACTCTGAAAGATGAGCTAAGAGGGTTGACATGTTGCCTGATTCTTACATGACCCAATTCCTATAATAAAACAAACAATCCATAAACAAAACAGGAAGAAGCATGAAATCACAAAATTGAGTATCTAGAGAGAAATGTAAAAGATAACAATCATTACAAGTCTTACATGACCCAAATTCCTATAAAACAAACAATTCATAAACAGAACAAGAAGAAATATGAAATCACAAAATTCAATATCTAAAGAGAAATGTAAAAGATAAAAATCATACAAGCCCTTCTCAACATATTAATAAACCATTTTAACTGTGACTTATCCTCACACCTACATACCAAAAAGAAGAAAAAATAAACTAAAAGAAAGGAAATTTATGTTTGGGTGAAACATAATAAAATACCCCAGAAATCTTATCAGTGAGGTTAAGTTCAGCATATTCCATGGCAACTAAGTCTGAGCTTCTGAGCTCTCCAACGTCTAAAGAAGCAGAAGCAGATACTCCGTGACTGCATTGGCGCTGACGCCGGTACTGGTTGTAGCAAGAGATTGTGTGGTTATAGCAGAGAGAGAGTGATGAAATTAAAGGAAGAGCGTGTTTCGCAGCGCCAGCTAACGAACAAGTGTGGTACAGGGAAGCCATTTTTTTTCACATCACTGCTTCCTCTCCCTTCTTCTCCTCTCTTGTTTTCTGTTTGTTCTTTAATATTTATAAATTGAGTTGATTTGGTTAATAACTAAACAATCGAAAATAAATTAATAGAATATATTTTTTAATTTTATATATTTATTGAAAATAAACCAAACAGATCTCTCTAATCGATTCAATTTTTTTCTGAGTCAATGTTTGTATATTCTCACTTTGTTTGAAATATAATAATTTTTTCCAAAAGAAATGTAAAATTATTTTTTTAATTTATTATAATTATCATAATTAAGCACTGTCATGTAATTTCTTTCGTCTAAAAATATTATATCTTGTTACAGTAAAATTTAATTTAATTACAATAATTTCATTAATAAACTAATCAACTAAGACATAATTCTTTCTAAATGATGTATTAAGCATCTTCTTTAAATCAAATGTATTAATAATGGTTAAAGTGGATCCAAACCATGGACATGTTTGTAATTTCCTTGTTTGTTTCTTCAACAAGATGGCCATTACAAAAACTTCTTCACCCATATCAGTAAATCTTGATTTTTCTTAGAGAGTTTGATTATGTGGGGTCTGTCACAAGTATGGACAGGATTTTCCTCTCCTCTTCGCCATTAGTTCTGTGCACCACCAGAACCCATCTATCAGACAACCCAATTGACACCCAGTAACTAAAGACAGTGGCCAGTGTGTTACTTATGGCTTTGGCTTCTCCACCACTCAGTTTCAAACCCAAATGCTCTTCTTCTTCCTTATCTTCTTCCTCCACCTGCCGCCCTGCTGTCATTCTCCCAGTTACCCTTTCTCTCTCTCTCTCTCTCTCTATCACATTATCACATATTCATTCACGTATATATGCATATAATGACTCATTCTTTTCTGGGTTGCAGGGGTTAGGGAACAATACAGGTGACTATCAGAAGTTAGAGCTGATACTGGGGGACTATGGAGTTCCCACAGTTGTTGCCAAGGTGTCAAGATTTGATTGGCTGAGGAATGCCGCCGGTTTGGTTGACCCCAATTACTGGCGGGGAACTCTCCGCCCTCGCCCTGTTCTTGATTGGTAGGATTATCATTCTTCATTATTCTACAAATATACATACAGATATATGCTATTGTGGTATTCACATTCTCAAAAGTATGTTTACCTAGTGTTTGTTTATATTATGGGGTTGGTGTTGTAGCTTGAAAAATGATGAACCAATGTGCTTGAGCAGGTACTTGAAAAGGGTCCATGAGGCGGTCAGTGAAGCCAAGGAATTGACCCCAGGTAAGGAGTTGGCATGCTGTTTCATATAAGAATTGCCGAGCAACTGATGGGTGAATTGTGTTGTTGGATAAGGGTCTTGTTTTTCTTCTGGCAAAGCTTGGGATTGGGGAAAGAAGAAAAATAAATTCTTAATTTCTTTTAAGACCTAAATTGTGCAGTCATGGCCATGGCATTTCATGATGGCATATGGAGAAATGGTTCAAATAAATAACTGTCAAGAGTCAGCTTGTTTCCTTTTTCATTTTTCATACTTTCTTTTCATCTCAGTCGTATATGCAAGATATATATATAGTTACAAACTTCTAATCTGAAAAGAAAGAAACTTTCTTATAGTGATTGTTGTAGTTAAACCTTGGGGCACTGGAGTACACCAAACTGTTTTGGTTCAGATTTTTTATTATTTCTACAAATTTGTAGCTTCGATAGAATAAATATACTACTTGATTTTTTCTCTTCAGGCTCTTTTATGGGAAAGGGAATTATTTGCAGTGGTTATCGGGGCAAATGGTATATATAATGAGTGTGGAGTGTGAAGTAGATGGAAGAGAGGCCCACTTTTGTTCATTGGCCTTTGTGAAGAAGTATGCCTCTGTTGGCCATCAACTTCTGTTGCTATTGATTCAATGATATCTTAGTTTAATCTTTTTGTGAGCCATACCTTAGCTTAGATGGTTCAGTAATGGCTTGAAATTACCATCACCTTAGCTTAGATGTTCAGTGATTTCTCTTATAAATAATTGTTTTCTTTGAAAAAGATCAGGTATAACCTGATATATGAACGAGGTGATTAGTTGCAGAACGGGGTGTTGAAAATTAAATGGATATCCGAGATTTTTCTCAGTTTGAGGTTGTTTTACGACAAGGGTGTAATGACATGGTGACAAAACTATCTTAGAAAATGAAACTAGATAGTACTTTTTTTATTAGACAGTTCTTTTATATTAAGCATCAATAGTTTGTTTGAAACTTTGGACATGAAACTAAAAGAGCTTAAACATGTTAAGCAAAATTCCGTTGGTAATGCTAAATGCTGAGGAATTATGTCTGATTTTTAGGAATATTTATAAGGATTGTTAGGCATGAAAATGGTTGGCACACCGAGCCTTCTGCAGAAAGCCTGAAACTTTTCTGCTGAATAAAATTTCAGCTGTTAGTTCTAGAGTTGGAGTAGCTCTAGAATAGGGCTATAAAGGTAGCAATATATTAGAAGCAAACAGAACATACCTGACATACCTTCAGTGAGGAGGTGGATTATAGAAATTGCTGTTTCATGTGATAATCTTGAATATTGTGAATTTGAACAAGTATTGAGGGAAATTAATCACGATGCTGAATTTGTCTAATTTCTATAGGGAAAAAATGATAGAAACCAACATCTTGAACCCTTAGAACCACTAAAGTAATAAGGAGATTGACACATAGAAACCTGGAGGACTCTTACATATTAATACTCTATTGCTGGGTAAAATTATATTCCTTCTCCCTAAGATATGAATGTATATATACATACGTATACCACCATGTATTTGATAGAGCAGGAAAAAAAACAACTTGCATATGGCAACACCTGAACCCTTACCCTCATTCTAAAGAGGGGAGCTAATAACAGTTGAACTGCTACCTATTATACACCCAAAGATAAGTTAATTTTATCTGTTTCACAGAACAAATTATTTATCCCACATGTACTCTCTTTTTTTGGGAGGAATATTCTAGATATAATTCGGAAGAATTATTCAGTAACATCTTTCCCCATTCCTTATGTAAGTTTGTGAAGACACAATTCAGTTCCTTTGTGAAAAATTTGGTGCATTGTTTTGCAAACTCAGATCCTTACGCTGTTTCATGTACAGGCATTATTTTATCAAAAGTCAAAAGTTAAAACATTCAGGCTCTTGCATTCCATATTTGCCCTATATGAGAATTTTTTCATCCAATGAAAAGTAAAACTCTGTAGGATTTAGTCACCATGTGATACTTTTCCTGCATGAGGCATTGGCAGCATTATATGCATACTATATTATTGTTTATAAAGCTTGCATTGTTGCCTGAAGGACTGTTACACATTTCATTATAGGTGGGACTCTCTCCTTGATTGGACACTCAGCAGGAGGGTGGCTTGCCCGCATGTATATGGAAGAATTTAGTTTTTCTGATATCTCGTTGCTACTGACTCTTGGTACTCCCCACCAGTAGGTCATCATTTTTATCGATTTATGTTCTTGCTAATGATTATTGGATTTCGACCCTTCCATTTTGTTCTACTCAATCTTTAGTACCATTTTTGAGATAATTCTTTAGTACTTTCAAGAAATCTGCTAGCTAATGCCTTTGTTATTCTAATTTCAAAATCTTCTTTTGAATTTTATCATAAAGGTAACCATAAATTACCTCTATCTTTTTTCTTTTTTTCTTCTTTTTCTCTTCTTCCAGGCCAACTCCAAAAGGTTTGCCAGGTGTTATTGATCAGACAAGGGGTCTCCTGGATTATGTTGAACAAAATTGTGCGAAGGCTGTTTATACTCCTGAACTGAGATATGTTTGCATTGCAGGAAGGTAAACTTAAACTGAAAATCACTTTTGTTATCCATTCTTCTTAGCTTTAACCCACGGAATTCACATTTTGCAAATTAAGTATAGTTTCTCCACAGCTAACATAGAAAACAAGGAAATCCACGTGTAGTAGCTGCTCCTGGTTCAGATTAGAAACTAATCTCTCACAGACATCCCACGAACATGATTAGATGCTTTGGTAACTTTCTTATGTGAATACATTAGTAAGCTAAATTAGTTGATCTCGTAAAATAATCTTTAAGTGCTACTCTAACTGTCAATAGACCCTTCTCACCTACATGCACCTGCAAGTATTGTTGCTTTAGAATTGGTAAATTTGGGATCTGAATCATTCAAATTGCAGATATATTCAAGGAGCTCGCTTCTTTGGCAACTCAAATGTTGATATTGATTCTGTGGTTGCCACTGACAATGACCAAATAGTTTCAGATGTTGCTATTATGAATAATAAGACCAATTCCACACCAGTAGCAACTACATTGCGTGCTCGATTTGTTGGCCAGGGTTACAAGCAGGTGAATTCAATTGTTTGGATAGCTATGATACTCATAAGATTTATTTGCACTTCTATTTCACGAATGAAAGTTTTATTTATACTAAAACATCTCAAAAGAAAAAAAAAAACAAAAACTGGCCGTGTTCCATGTTTCAGCCCCAGGAAATCGTTTACTTTCTCGATCATTCCTATAGGAGACAAGAATACTATCCAACTCAATTAGACTCATTGGCAAAGAATATAGTTTCATTATTGTATTACTGGGAAGTAAAAATATTCTCTAAGGCTGTATTCATATATATTAGCAAATTTTGTTGTTTTTAGACTTAGTTACAAGGGGCTGAAAATCTATCTAAAATTATTAAAATTAACCTCTCAAAATTTCTAATTCTGCCTGAAAATTTCTCGTAAGATGAATTTCTATCTTCTTTTTTAGTAAGATTTTTCTTCTCTCCTAATTGAATTAAGTGTAGATTTTCAAATGAATTACCATATTGGTTTGTCCTAGAACGTAACTTTTGTTGCAGATACAAATTTGAGCAGTAGATTGGTGGTAAATTTGTCATGAAGGCGGCATGAAACTCTAAACTTAGAAGAAATTGCTTGTGGACTAAGATACAAAAGTGTCACCACTCCAAATTAAATGAAGCTCGTAACAAATGCTATATTGTATGAGTGACTTTATGCAGAAATGAAAATCATATGACAGAACGTTCCTCTACGTTTGATTTGCAATTACAAATACTCTCCTTTTTTTAATAGTAAAAAGTATGTTAATATGGCAATAAGACAGCCCAAGAACTTCATGAGAGTACAATGTCTGGTACCTTAATTAAAAACTTAAGAGCCTGCCAAGTAGTCTCTATATTCTGACATGATTGACGAAGAGATACAAAATCTTGTTTTCCAGGTTTGTGGGAAGGCAGAAGTGTGGGGCGATGGAGTTGTGCCAGAGGCATCTGCCCATTTGGAAGGGGCACTAAACATCAGCTTAGATGGAGTTTATCACTCACCAGTTGGTTCAGATGATGAACTAAGACCCTGGTATGGTTCTCCTGGGGTAGTAAAGCAATGGATACACCATCTCACTGAAGATCCGAAGAGGTAAGAAATGAAGCAGATCATATATTATCCATCGGTATAGATAACTGTTGATCTACTTGAATCGAATATTGTATGCTGTAAGCCATTAAATGAGAAGCCACTGAATATTGATAATTGAAAGAACAAATGTTATACAAGGGAAGTTTTGCCTCTTGATTCCAGATGCCTTCATTTCTTGCTTGTTTGATTGCCATTAAGGCATGCGCATGGTTAGACCATTTGGAAGGGAATGAACAAATTTGATAGAATTAATTCAATTAAGTTTCCATTTAATTTGTATGAAATTTATATTTCTGTTATTCATATTAGTCGTAACACACATAATCATAAGATGATTTTTGGTGTTTGATTTTCCTTACTCTTGATTTTTCGATGGTAAGAACTTCATTCATACTATGTACAGTAGATGATGAATTTTTAGTACCAAAGAATGTCAATATGAGAATGTTAGTACATTAAACACAAAACCATGTTATGATTATAAATATCACTACCAATATGAACACTATAATTAAAAATTGACTCTTGACTAGATAAATCAAGAGCAAGGCCAGTTGAACTAGAACAAAAGTGTCGTCTTTGTCATTAGAGAATAAAATGAAACAAATACCTAGACTCTCATTGCTAACAAGGAAAATGGTTCTGCTGTCTGAAGGAATAAAAGAAATTCAAGCACCAGAATCAACATGGTACCTCTCTTGTCGCTGGATGGCACAAGCTTCGCATCTTAAACACGGTTTCTTTTGATAATGAAATAAAATTGTAATACAATTATAGACAAATAACAGAATATCCCGGTGCTAGCGGGAGGCCAAAATTTGACAGTCAAGAGAGATGTTTGTTGCAATGGAGAAACCACCATGGTTCTTTTCAGCCAAATGTTGACTACCTAGTTTGGACTAACTAGTTTGGCCAATCATAACTTCATCTTCACATGCTCAACTGATATGGAAGAACCGGTGATATTTGCCTGGTTCGTCAGTGATACAGGAATGAAACAATAATAGCAGTATCTAGAATGACTTAAGGTTGGTTTCTCGTGGTGACAATAGGAGTGGAAGGTAATTGTTTAAATGTCGTAGGATACAGTAGTTTTGAAGCTTGACAAATCCCAATTCACCAAGCAAACCAATCCCTAAAATCTTCACTGCCATAGACATGGTTTGGACCCTTTTTCAATATGGAGAAATAAGCAAGAAGCATCACAATGTGCTTAACAGAGCTTAGTTACATGCATAATCCTCATGTACTCTACCTTCTAACTTACATGCAAAAGGCACAACCACGTGCACCATAACTGTAAGTCTGTCTTGCTTTGGAGTAAAAATAAAAACAAAAATAAAAATAAAAAGAGGAAATTCAGCATAACCAACTTGCAACAGCAAGATGAATCATGAAACCACGTTACAAGGCCTACAAGTTTATCCTAGGCAAACTTTTACAACAAGCCTGCTAATTACCTGTTCATTGACAAAGCCAGCCCACAAAGTTCTGTTCCCAAACAAGTTAATATCAACATGACAGTCCAAAACGCGGAAAAAATGGTTGTAAGTGCTTGAGAAGTAATGAGTAGGGGCACCAATCCAGACCCACCAAACCCAAAGTTGATATTTGAATCAGCAATTAACCAGTCTTAACAAAGTGGTGAGAAAGATACTTCGCTATCTCAAGGAATCCAATTGTGTCTTTACCATCAAACAGAGTCTTCAGCTTCTCATCACAAACAATCTGCCTCTTATCTGAGGGATTCTGCAAGCAAAAGCATCCACATTTTTTTTTTGAAATAAAAGAGAGAAATCCAATTGAGATACTTCGCTTTTTGAAACAAAAGCATCCACATTTTTTAACAAACAATATCAACCCATTTGCACAATTTCAATGGAGCATCACTTTTTTTAATGAAAAGATAAATACATCACACTTTTATACAAGTGTCACACAGGATTCACCTTTTTTTAAAGAAAAAAGTCAGCACAATGTAGATTTAACACAAAATAAACAAATAAGTAAACAAACCACAGCCATCATTTTTCACCTCCCAAAGGAGAGAACAATTTGAGACACTGAGTACATCCTTCTTCACGGGCTTTAGGAGACCATGGAGAATTTATTAATATGGAGCAAGAAAATATTATTGGTTTTCCTTCTGATTGAGACAAGAAAAAGGTAATAGTATTCTGGAAAAAGGCCCCAAGATGGTGCAACTCATGTACAAGAGAAAGAACGCAAAAATTACAAGAGAATCAGCTGCGCTATGAGGTTTCCAAGACTTTCAACATTTAGGGGAGGATAACATTTAAACAAAATACACCCGAGGATCTAAAAGCCTAGAAAAATTAAATGCAAAACCCTCAAAAGGCTTCTATTCTTTTTCCTCTCCATATGGTCCAAAAATTAGAATAAGGAATAAGAACAGTAAAGCTCCTTCTTGTTCTTGCTCACAAGGATGCCACCCCAAGCAACTCAAGTGAGAGAGATGCACTACTAATACCACGGAAAAGCTGTCTAGGAAATTCATTATCACGAAGAAAAAGCAGCAACAGATTGATAATGATGCAACCTCTTTCTTAACTTGTCTATGTTTAAAATGCAACCCAGTAGGCTTCCTAAATAAAAAGTGCCACATGGGAAGAAGCTTTATGTTTACAGATGGGCTTATATGGGGAAAAAAAATCGGTGATAATAATTTTGTTTATGGGGGAAAAGTAACAGATGACCACTAATTTACCGTTAATTGGTAACTCCAAAACTGGATAATCTCTGTTTGGGGACATCAACCAAGGCTCCAAGGAAACGAGCAGAGGATTCAACTCATCACGCTCCCAATCACTACAGTTTCTGTTGAGAGAAATGTATCAAGACCTAACCCTCTCATTTGTCTTTAAACAATCACCAATTTTGGCGCCTTTGCACCTACCAACTCATAGATATTGAGTAACAGATCTTCAGAATTTGCTTCCTGCACCACACCATTGCACAATTATACCCTATGGCATTGCAACCTCAAAAAGAAAGAAATTAGCCAATCCTTAGTCATCCATCTCTACAAGCTTCATCCAGCCTCCATCTGTGAGCCTGTATCTAGTCAAACCACATTTCACCCTATGTTACTTTTGCAAGTGAGAGAACACCACAAACATTTGGCTAGTACTCCTGCATATATGGAGATCGATTGAATGCTCGGGGCTCACTAAAATTGATAGCATCCTACCTCACTGAATGGAATCTTGCTTCTCTTTGAATCCACCCAAAGGAACTTTGGCCACAGTGCGTGGGTTAGGAGACAGAAGCATAAAACAAATAGTCAAACTAAAGGTTATACTCTTGATCAAGGTGGTTCTATGTCCTTTAGTTAGATATCTTTCTCTCACTGTTCTTTTTCCATTCTACAAGTAGTTAGGTCCATAACACCCTCTCCTTACTCTTGGACCTCGAAACAACTCAAGATATTTTATGGGCAAATATAACACCTAATACCCAAAATTTTGGCAAGATCTGTCACCTGGACAACCTCTTTGATAGGAACCAACTCTCTAAAATTATTTTAGGTTAGACACTACTTGGAAGCACAAAAGGAATTTACTTCTTTTTTATAAGAAAGCATTTACTTTACAGGAAGGACTCTTATTCGACTTACGGAACAAATAAGAACAGATAAATAATAGTGGCAATAGTCTATGGATTCTTCCTATTAACACTCTTAACTTCCTAAACAAATTTACCTCTCTAGCTTTAATAATCATTTTGTTAAAACGTTTCCACAGCCAAGATAATTTAGATAAACAGAAAAAGGAGAGAAGATATCTTTGTTGTAGACCTATTTGAAGAAAGAAAAGGGGCTTCCGTTAATTAAGACGACAAAATAGACAAGCTCAATGCAACCCTTTATCCATTTGTATCTGACGCCCACGAGATGCATCAAAAAAATCAAGAAACTATAGATAAAATGATTGTAGGCCTTCTCCACATATTTTTTGAAATAAGGCCTTCTCCACATCTAGTTCACAAAACATTGCATCTGATGTGTCTCCCTTCTACAAAAGCAGATGGTGTGTAACCAACCACCATCTCCACTATCTTGTGCAGTATAAAGCAATGATCTTTGCTATGAGCGTAAAAAGCAATCAACAATAAAAATGGGTCTAAAGCGCTTCACATTGGTTACGTCTCGCACTTCGGGGATAAAGACCAAAAGAGTAGCTTTAACTTTCATACAGCTCCAATAATTTCAAAGAAAAGCTATGGTGAGGCTATTGCTTCCGAAAGCCTCAACATCATCACAATCGGACAATGCAAAGAAGATCCCCTCCTCAAATTTCCTCTTGCTCCACCTATTTTCCTCACAAGATAACTCAAAGAAGTCCAACATGTCTAGCTTGGGACACTAAGAAGTAGGCTAGAAATAAAGTCACTGATTCATGATAGTAAGCAAGATGTTGGACTTACCTACATTGAAGTCCCCTTAATCCATTAAAGTCTTGATTTTTCCAAGGGACGCTTTCATAAACAGCAAACTATAACGTTCCAGCTTAGCTAGATGTCCCAAACCTCTCCTTTCCCTCCACGTCTAACAAATGAAGTTTGTCTTCGAGATATAAAGAGAGCACTCAGGTTTTAGTGCATCAATGGCTTCAAAGATGTCCATCACTTGTTCTTCAAATCTATAAATCAGGATTCCTGGCAGACATCCTGGTCAATTTTCTCAACAAGATAATGTCAGCTAGTGAAGCTCTCTACAAGACCGCTCTAACTTCTCCAAAGAATTCTATGCAATAGCAAACCATCCTAGAATCCTCCCACAGGCACATCATCCATGGAACATCTCAGATCTATGCTGACAAGCAAAGGAATTTTGTAAGGAAGCAGCCTTAACACTCATTTCTGGGACAAGCTATCTCGCACTGCTAAATTCCTGCAGCCAAGAGCTGGTTGTGTTGACCAATTTTGTTGTCTGCAGCTGTGTTAACTTACTGCCTGGTTAATAGTAAACCAGCCAGCTCGGCCAGCTGCGCAGACTCTAGGCACCTTTAAATAAAGCCATATCTTCAAACAAGGAAGAAAAATGGAACAAAAGATTATCACTTTTGTGAATACATAGCAAAATTATCTTTACATTTGAAATCAGTCAAGGAGGGAGAGAGAGAGAGAGAGAAGAAAAAAATTGTTGTTCAGAAGTGTGAAATTCTATCAACTCCAATCCATAATTAAATATTTGTTATTATATTCAAATGAATGGCTAGATATATTACCAACCACCACACCAATGTGTCTAAACCAACTAGAAATAAAGGTACTCCGATCTACATGGTGCTCAATATATAGATCTTATCCTCGATTTGTAAACCTTTTCAAAGAAGAGTCCAAAAAATATATTTTCACATGAGAATATAAATGAACCCACTTCAGTTTATAGATTAAAAGGATTAAACTCTTGCCAAAATATTCTCTCACAAAAAAAACAGCTTAAGGTAAAGATTTTTTCCAAAAGCATTTATATGAAAACTGATTAAAGATTATTGAAAAGAGTGTCAAAAAACCATTCCTTAATAGAGTTCAATTTTAGTAAACAATCCCAAAGAATTAAATGATGGCTCAACTCACTAACCAAAAAATGCAAGAGCCGATTCCCTCTTCATCACATTGCAAGGACCTAAGGACTGTACAATTCCTATATATGTTGAATTGTAAGTATTCTTGTTCCTTCTCATTTCAAGCTGCAACCTTCCTTTTGATTAGGATTTCTATTCTGTCACATGTCATTTATAATTTCCTTCTTAATTTCATGCTCCACTCCCTTTTGACATAATGACTCTACATGGCTTGTCATGGAAAAGTAGACATAAACTAGAGTTAACCCATAAGGTTACAAGATAACTTGTTAGCCTGAAATTCCAATTATGAATACAGTAAATTCTAAGACTTACTGACCTTTCAGATTATTTCCATCCAATCTCACAGAACATGAGAAATATCATTTCTTCTATCTTGCTTATGTTTTACGAGAATGATGAAAATTTATGAACGAAATACTACAACAGTATTATTAACTAGACAGTATCCCTGACGAAGTCCACACACAAAGAGAGGAATGGAAAAGAAAAAAGAAAAGAAAATTCATGTAGAAAATGACAGGGCAATAGAAAGAAGAATCAAAGGTTTGAATATACTACGGATATAGGAACCAAGTTGGCATATTGTAGTAGCCACATTTATGCACCAAAACAGCGAGGCAATTCATTAGTAGTTTCCAAGATGCTGTACTATCTGATTAGCTATGGGAAGAAAATTATAACAGTTGTAAATTGTGCATGCACGCGATCTTCCAAAGAACAAAGTAGACCAAAATGGCATGTACGGGAGCACCAGCTGAAATTTTTGAATAAACACAAGACAAGCTCAAATTTTTATGATGTTTGTCTTCCAGAACTATGCTACGCGACCAGGCAAGCAGAGAAAGAAGGAAGCAAAACGTCAGCAACGAAGAACCTAGGAAGCAAGGATGCCCATCACCACTACAGAAAGACAAAACATATAAAAGGATTCAAACAATATCGTCAAAAAACTATCTAACAGCAGATTTCTTCTAAGCATACAAGTATATATACGCACATGGTGACATTCATGCTGATGCATGTGGGCGTGTACTATGAATATACATTAAGAACTGAGAACACTAGGGTTTGTGACGGTATTATAGCGATAATACCTGAGAAAGATCAATAGACTCAAACAACCAAAAAGAAACTACACTAAAATAGGAATCACAGCGGATAATAACTGAGAACCCTAGGGTTTAACAACCAGATAGAAATGAAGATAAAACGCAAGCATCCATATAGGTGAGCGTGGAGAGAGAGACCTGGAGATTGTTTGCCTTGATATACGTCCAGATCTTCTTGACGGCGTCGCTGCGGGATGATTCAGAGGAACCTATGAAACGAGCGAGGGCAGGGGAGACAGGGCTCACCTTTTGAATTCCACTAGGCCTCACAAAGGCTCGAGGTGGTGCTGATGCTGCTGTTTTTGATTTTGCCTTCTCTTTAGCCGTTTCGGTGATTTTAGATTTTTTCGAAGCAGCAGCGGCAGCAACGGCGGAGGACTTGGATGTCGATGTAGCAGGAGCTAAGAGTGTCCTGCAACCATTGAAAACCCTAGCTGCCATGGAAGACATTGAGCTCTTCCCTCGTATGTCTCTGTCAGACTACTGACTAACTAGTGAAATCCCAAATTGATTTTCAGGCCGCTCTGCAAATGTAAGCGGTTTGAACTTTCCAAGTTTTTTTACAGCGAGATTGACCTAGGTCAAAATTGGTCAGTACAGTGAATTATTCAAATTTGATTTTCCTTAAAAAAGTCGAAAATGTATTTTTAAACTGAGTATAAAATCATATTATTAATGAAAACCATATAAATAAAAATATTTTGAATTTCAAAAATTAAAATTTGTGTATTATTGAAGAATATTGTTATGGGTGTTTTAGTTCCCGTAAATTTTACTCATTTTTTATTACATTTTACTTGATTTATTAATTTAATACTATGATTAATTTTAACTTTATTTGGTATAAAATTAGTTTTTATTATAATTAAATTTTGCAAAGTTAATAATTTTTTATGTAGAATATATTCTTTTTCGATGGTAATTTTAATTTATCATTTAATATTATTTATATAGATCAAGTTTACGGAATTTGACTAATAAAATTTCGCAAAATTAATCATTTTACTACAACTTCATTACTTAAAAAAAAAAAATTGGACTGACTTTATAAAATCTATATTATATAAAAATCTAGATTATTCAAACAACTATATGAAAAGTAGATTAAAATTTTTATTAATATGATAAAGATATAATTATCTATTAAAAAGGTTATTGTTATGATGTATACATAGATAGGTCTTTAAGAAATTTAATGATTTTCTTATGATAAGTTTTAAAATTTTTAAAGTATATAAACTAATATTATATGTAATAATTTAGATTATGGACTAAGTAGATAAATAGTAATATCCTTGTCTATTTTACATCAAAAGTTAAATTAAATCAATAATTTGATCTTACATCTAATGGAAATCTTTTTATAGATTTCGGAATTCTTCCTTTTCCAATAGCTTAAGAAATTTTGTTTCTTGATGACAATAGTCAAATAATCTTTATATTTTCTAGTATATAATTTTCTTATTTGATTATTGATCTAATAATCAACAACGATATATTTTCGTATCATAGAATTATGACATAAGATTCATATTTTTAATGTAAGTTACAAAACCTATTCATATCTAAATTCTTTCAAGAATTATTTGGAGGACAGTTCTTGATTTTATCGGATAGTAATGTGAATATTCTTTATAATTTAATTGATTACACATCTTAAGAATTTGCTTGCGATTAGAGAAAATTAATTTATAATGAAAATTTTAAATTTTAATTTTAATGTAATATGAATTTTGATTTATTGTCGAAGATATAAGGCACGTAATTCAATAAATTAACATTGATTATTGCGCTTAAATTCTACATTTTGAATCCAATAAAAGAAATAAATCAAAATAGCACAAGTTACAATTCTTATTTTCACTTTTAAAATCTTAAAAATAATCTGTACTTTTAAAATTTTTTTTGAATAAGTTATTATTATTAATATTATCAAATATATGTGTGTGCAATAATATGAGTCTTCAACACTAATCAACAACTTTATATGCATGATACTTAATTTCTATATAAAATATTTTCATTCATATTTTATATTAATAATGTATAAATAATAATATTAAAATGCACACGAAGAAGAAATAACTTTAGTGAAATAGGGTATAAACAATTAGACTGGGATTACATACAATAGTTAAGAGGCCACACGCAATCACGTACATAGATTCATATCGATATATCTTTGTATTTCACTCTCTTCATATATATATATATATATATTGTAAAGACAATAATAGAGCGAGTCTGAGATAATTTTCAAACTTAAATTCTACCGATTCTAAAAAAAAAAATTGAATCAACTGTAAACCTCCTATGAGTTTGTTTTTTTTTTTATAACCATATTAAATTTGCATATAACCCGATATAATTATTACATTACATTAATGTGATATAACTATATTTATATTAAGAAAAAATTAAAAATATATTTGTTAATAATTATATTTATATATTTAGATATAAATATAATTATATTAATAAAAAATAAAATATAAATATACATAGCGACCTAAGTTCAAATAAATTTTTAAAAGATCAAAATTGAACTTGTCCCAAGTCGTCCCTCTTTTTGATAAAGTCAAGCTCAATTCAATATAAATACGTACTTAAAAAATAATAATATCAAATTATGTTTAGACAGACTAAAATATGTGGATTTTACGTTTAGTATTTGTAGAGGTCTGAAATCTTAAAAGAAAATGAATTTATAAAATTAAATGTGAAAGTGATTAATAGAGTTAGGGTTTACATTCCTTACATAATAATTTAGAATGCTCAATAGGGTTAAGGGAATGTCCCTTATAAAAGACAAACGGTAATTAAAGAAATGAAAAGAATAGCAAATACAAAAGTACCATAGGACAACCTTCACTAGCACTTGAAGGAAGTTCAGGTGGTGAACTACTTACAACTCTCTTACTAATCAGGATATGGATGTTGGTCCTCTTGATCTGAAATGGTTAATGAAAGGGTGAACTACACTAACATAGTAAGAATATCACACTAATCACAGATATAGAAAACTGAAAATTGGTAAAAAATTAGAAAAATAACTAATGGAGTTCATGCTTTATTTAAATACCTTTAAACTTGAAGACTTTTGTTTGATACTTATCGTAACGAGTTTTTCAAAACAACTTATGAAGACTTATATTTATATCACTTTTCACTTTCACGTATAAGAGAACAAGAGACAATAACTTTTCTTTATTACCTACTTGGTGGTACCCTTGGGGTTATATAGGAATGTCACCTCCTACTCGTGAACCCAATATCTAATTTACAATTAACAAGCTGTCCCCATACCCTATCCGAAAGCAGCGGCTCCATCGGTCCTCATTCGTGACTAGGGTTCTTTTTTCGAATAACTTATACAGAAAAGAACGGTGAACACAATGATAAAAAAATAGCATAAAACGAGAATCGGGAAGGAGCTCATCAGAGGGATTTTGACCATGGCGGCTTTCCCGAGTTTTACCTTCAATTTTCGGTTCACCCGCCATCCTTCTTGCTTCGATTTGGCCATAAAGGTGCTCGAAATCTAATTTTGAGCAGGTAGGAAGAATTTTTATCTTTTTCTATGGCCAGTGGTGGCTCTAATGCGACAGTAGTTGGCAGTCGGCCTCCTTCTCCGGCGCCTGGTTCTTTCTCTCCGACGGGGGTTGACAGCTAGAGTTTGAGTTCCCATGCAAAGCGAAATATTTATACCAATTCCTCATTGATCTTAGTCATCCATCGCGATTGATCTCGTCCATCTAATCACACGTAAGGAAGAAATGAATATGGACTGTCCATTGTGATTGATCTTGGTTGTCCAATCGTGCATATAAGGGGAAAACGAATTCGGGTCATCCACGCGGGCGGGATCAATCCTGGGTTGTTCGATCGCGAAACACATGGATCGCATGCGTGATACAGACGTCAGTGTGCCTTATCATGCGACATGCTCTGGTTCGTTAGAACTGTTGACTGGACGGTACTATATGGCCAAACTTTCTCTATTTGTACTTTGACCCCTGTTTTTATTTTTTTTTTCAAAAATACCCGTCGAATTTAAATTTTCACATCTTTTTTTCCAAAATTGCTTTCAATTACATTCCTAACCTATTTTTTTTAATTAATTAATAAAATTAAGTTTAAATTGATTTAAAAATAATTTTTTATTTATTTCTTTTATAATTAAAATGTGATATTGGGCCAAATTTCGGACCCTGGTATTACAACTCTCTCCCCCTTCCACTTAAGAAGAAATTTGATCCCTCAAATTTGTCACATCTCACTAGTTAAACAGTTGAAAATACTGGGATCTAAAAGTCCGTTCTAGCTCCCACGTAGTCTCTTTCCGTGTGTGATTCTGCCATAAGACATTGACAAAAGAAATTTCTTTGTTGCGGAGTACTCTGTTTTTTCGATCTACAATGTCCACTGGTACCTCCTTATAGGATAGATCATCCTGAAGTGAAGGGGGCTCCTATAACAAGATGTGTGAGGGGTCTAAGTTGTACTTGCGTAGCATGGACACATGAAATATATTATGAATCCTAGATAACTCTGGAGGTAGTGTCAGTCTGTAGACGGTCGTATCAGTCCTGTTTAAGATCTCAAATGGCCCAATGAACCAGGGATTTAATTTTTCCATCTTGTCAAATCTACTGATATTCTTGAAAGAGGTGACCTTAAGGACTACTCGATCACCTTTTTCAAATTCTAAATTCCTCATCTGGGAGTCTGTATAACTCTTCTGCCTACTCTAAGCTGTTTTGATGTTCTTCATGATCTTAACCATATTGGTTGTAGTCTCCTCAACAATATCTAGCCGAACAGTTTTCTATCACCCACCTCTTCCTAACAGATCGGTAACCTGTAAGAGCGGTCATACAATGCCTCATACGAGACCATGTAGATGCTTGGTAGCTGTTATTATAGGCGAACTCTATCAAAGGTAGGTGATCATCTCAATGGCCTCCGAAATCTAGAATACAAACTCGGAGCATATTCTATAGTGTGTGAATCGTCTTATCTGATTGTCCATCGGTTTGAGAGTGGAATATGGTACTAAGGGACAACTTCGTTCATATGGCTTGCTGAAAACTAGACCAAAATTGAGAAGTGAATCTGGGGTCCCTATCGGATACCACTGTCATTGGAACCCCATGTAACCTAACTATTTCCTAGATATATATTCTTGTTAGCTTGTCCAAATGTCGGTAATCTTATAGCCAGAAAATGAGAGGAATTGATGAGTCGATCGACATCACCCAGATAGCATCAGCCCGTGCGTACCTTA